TGAAATTTAAGAGCAATACTCCTTAATGTTTATATGGGCATGCTTAGGACACTTTGCAGCCGATAGTGACATTAGTGCAAAAGATTCCGGTGTGTCTTCATGACTTTATAACACCATTGAGCGTTGAGTTCGTTGGCAGTTGGCATGGATTGTGCCCATGAAGTTTTCACTTCTACAAAATGTGTCCCTTTTAACTTTCAATTAGGCAATTAGTATACACTGTCAAGTATCGATTGCCACTTTGCAGATCCCATTGAAGTAATAGTGAGTTGGACCGTCCATAGATACAGAACGGAGCACCATATATGGCAAATCAATTCTGGTGAAGAGCGGCAATTAATGTCTTGAAAGCCTTTCTAGCTATTTTCAGAATTTGTACGAGGAATTAACATATATAAAATTACGTTGGCAGAGAGGGCTTGTCTGCTGGGAGTAGATGATCTTCCTGTCCGAAAAGTCACCTGAATACCTTGCCTTGTATAATGGATCTGGGGGGGAAAAAGAGGGCAAAATTACTCTTTAATGAACACTTTGCTTTTAAGTATTGTGGGATAAGATAATAATTATGCAAACAACAGGAGGATGGAAGTCAAATAAAAGAAGCAGAATGCAAAGACAATACTTAAAGTCATTTAGAGGGATTGGTCTATATAAAGCGTAATCAAGCCGAGTTGAGTCGATCTACACGGTTTACTACCGGAACAAACTCAACCAAACCGGCATATTCGCGGCTTAATGCATAATACACTCGAGCTGAATTGAACTTCCTCGTTCAAGTTTGAGCGCGTTGCGGTAAAATGATTTGTGGGCTCGAGCACAATTCGACTGGAAATATTTCCGCTAGCTTGATAAGGCCCAGGATGAGTTTAACTTTTAGAATTTAGAAACTATAAAATGAAAATCGATTGCAATATTCAAGAAGAGCCTGAAAAGGCACTTAAGCTCCATTAATATGATTTAAGCACGATAGTTGGGTGATTATTTTTGTTGTATAATCGGGTGACACAGTGGAAGCGGATCATAACTTTGCAATTAAGTCGGGAGCTATAGAAATTCGACAGAGAAATAAAACGAGAAATAAAAAAAGGATATGAAAAATTTACGTGGTTCGATCTAAATATCGGAATCTACGTCCACGGAGAGAACCGGCAAATAATTCACTAATAAATAGGAGAATTACAGGATTACGATCACAAATATTTCTCAGCCCTAATGAATACCCAAGACCCACGGTATTTAATAACTCAGCTGGATGAACTTGACTCCACGCAAATCTCTCCGAGCTCCCGCCTCTCTTCGTCTCTTGAGCATTCTCTTCTCTCGGCTTAACTCCGGCCCATTACCATCCCCCTTTTATAGATGGGAGAACGGAGAAACAAGACAAACGGCGCCCATCTTCGGAAGCCACGCGTCTTTGTGCAGTTAACGATGGCATGTGCGCATGACCTTCACGCCACAAGAAAAATGAACATAGCTTCTACCTTCCCTCTTTCTTCATTTAATAACAAAAGGACCACGAAAGCCCACAAAAGTTGACCAAAAATAGAGAGAGAGACGACAGCGGCGCTCACTTCTTCCTCTATGGTCATGCATTCACATCACGTGCGTGCATTTATGAGGAAGAAGAAAAATGGACGTGAAGGCATGCGCATAAACCCATGTGCAGAAGATTTGTCCATCTCCGCGATTGGCGCTGCTGTTCTCGTTGGAGCATTTCTCGTTGAATGCTCCACGATTGGCGCTGCTGTTCTCATTGAATGCTCCACGGATGTGCCTCTCCTTTTCAGAGTATTAATAAACGATGAGCGTGCGGATCAGGTATCGTGTACGAGCTTAAATTTGAGACATAATTTAACAATCTTGGATAGACCTGAATTGAAAGGCAAATTTATATGATCAACTTTCAGGTTGTTAGTTGAAGAGGCAAATTAAGTCGATTTTGAAAAATTAGGGGAAAACGTCGTTCAAATTGAAAACCTGAGGGGTCATGTGAGAATTCCCCCAAAAAACATGGGGGCCGAGTAGTAAATTTCCCCGGACGTATGCATTTGGAATGCAAAATAAAATAATGAACTTACATATACAATGTGTATTTTGCATGACTTTAGTTCAATAAATTAGTGAAGCAAATAGAGTACTTCGAACCTACCTTATATGTGAACAGCAAGCAAATGAAGTAAGTTAACTAATTCTGAACATGCACGCTTCATTCTTCTGCATCAAGTCCACGAACACCACACAAAATGAAAGTGAGCACAGAAAGCAATTCAATAGACCGACCCTCGCTGGCCTCTAGCGAGGGAGACCCTTGCCAGTTGTCGCAGACCATCGCAGAGGCTCGTCGATGTGATATCGCAGTGACTTACAATATGAAGAAAATGATGTGAAAGCTTTATCGAATTATAATGACACGTAGACATCAATCACCATTATTGAAGCTATATACTTTTACCATAGGATTTGTTCGCGTTTGTAGCTCTTGTGGATACTCTGCTACCAAACGAATGCTGAATCCTATCTATTTGGACGATAGGGCTTCGGGCATATTTTCATTTGACCAGGCGAAGACATCCTGATATTCAATGAGGAATCCAATCAGATTCTTTTTAGATGAAGAGCGATTCAAGAGGATTATTCTCCAACTAATGAAGAGATCTTGGCGGAATTGCTCAACAGTCGAGCCAGTCTCTCTCTTGTTCCCATTTTGCATTTCTAATTTGTTGACATTTGGGAAACTAGAACCAATTACATGATTTCACTTTAAAACAAAATCTCATCATTAGAAATTTTGCACACGCGCGCGCGCACATATATATAAATAAGATTGCAAATCGCGATGAAATGAAATTTCTCTTTTACATCTTCATATCACAACCATAAACTAATGATTCGGATACCCCCATTGATGAGATAGCCCTAAGCTATCTACAAGATTCCTCTCTCTCCTCTTGGGACATCGAGCCACTTATAACATAATGTAAAAGGCCTCTTCACCCTTTTTAAGAATCTTGAGGTGGCCCAGTGCCCTCGAGAATCAAATAGACTAGCGGACTGAGTTGTAAAAGCCTCCAGATATGAGGCCCTTTCCACAATATTGGGTTTCTAACCCCCTTCTCCTCTTTGGGAGTTCTTGTGTTTTGATGCCCCTTACTCTAGCTTGTATTTGGGCTCGATTTCAATGAAATGAAGTCTCTTTTCTCACAAAGAAAATAAGAAAAAATTACTCAAATTCAAATTGGAAAGCGCGATTTTTAACACCAGTTCCCAGCAAAAAGCCACTGAACAATTACTGAATCTTGCACGGGGGCGTCCAAAAAAGGCAACCGTGGGCTTGGAGGTGGAGGCGGAGCCGGAGGTGGAGGTGAACTAATCAGAGAGGACAGTAGATGCCGGGGCGGTTTCACCCATTTCATTGGTGCATGCTCTTCAGTCGAACCCCAACTTTGGGCCATTCTAGCTTTGACTTGAAATGCAGAAGAAAAACTCGTCTTGGACCTTGATTGACACGCAGAAGCTATGCTGTTACGTCCCAAACTAGCTTTCGCTTTCTCCGCTCTCCACCTCCTGGTCTTCTTCCTTCTTTGCTTGAGGATGCTCTTGGGGACCACGTAGACTCTGTAATATTCCTTACTATAAATTAACATAAAAATTGAGTGTAAATACGATTGTTTGAATCGCGTACCTTGCTTGCAGCCAATATTGATTAGATATTTTATGCTCATTAGCAAACCTAGAGTTAGTGACAGTGCACTATTTTTGTAATGCACAACTCTATTCATGTGAATGAAACTCGTCTCTTGTGTGGCTCATGTGCCCATTCTTTCTCTAGCAAACAAATTTCCAACAAATTCAAATGTCTCAATAATCTTATCACGGTAATAAATCATAGTTTAATGTACGATTTAGCCAAAAAGTGGTGGTAAGTCTTCTAGCGATTCTGACATTTAATCATCAACTCTTTTGTGAAACCCTCGGCCTATGGGCCATCGCCCCCATTGCCGAAATGGTAACCGGGGTCTTGGCGAGGGCCGACGAATCTCGCTCGGATCTGGGAGAGGGTCGTGGCCCTCTTCCAAATCTAGTGGGGGCCACAAAGCCCTCACATGTGGTTGGCAACCCTCACCAACTCTTCCCAAGACCCCGGCAACCGTTCAGGCCATCACTAATGCCCCGCCGGCCCTTTCCGATGATGGGGCAGCAGCCCACAGGCGAAGATCGGGCCCTCCTCCTGCAGATAGTTTTGTTTTTAATTTTTAGCCTGTTTATTTGTTTTTTCTTTTTAATATCTTTTTTTGGGGAAAACTTTTGGACTTTTTTTTAGAACTAATTTAATTAAGACTTCGTGTAAAAAATTAAGATTTGGACCAAAACCACGTGATTCAGTTAATCTTAACACCACATCAGAGGGAGAAGATAAAAAAATCACGTCAATATTTTCGTTAGCCAAACAAACTAAGTTTACGAAAAGACTTGATCCCACCAATTTGGCATGTTTTAAGACTGATTGTACTTTTTAAAAGTTTAGGACACAATTGCACTGTCGCACAAATTTAAGACTTTTGTTGCACTTATTCCAAAATAAATAAATAAACCGCTATGAGCGGTCCGCTCGCAGACAAGGGGTTCAGTGCCCCTCGCCAAAACAATGGTACGTAGGTCCCTCAAAAGTATAGAATGACCATCCCCTCAGCATCTTAATTCCAGCCTCCATCTGCAAATGGAAGATTTAAGATGATATAAAACTGTTTGGTCACTGTTCTGTTGATCTGGATGTCCAATGCAAGGCCTGGTTATCGTTCCAAAAGGTGTTCTCATTCGTAAATCAGATCGAAACAAAAACTGCAAAGCAAGATCACATCTTCGTCCTCTATTCATAAGCTGTGGCCACAGCCGAAATGGCTGAGGCAATAGCGTTTATAGTACAAATCATTGATAAAATGAACCAAAAGAAGGTCAAGCCAAGAAACAAGGTGTTGGTACCGAATCAGCGAAGTCACCCATGCCAAAGACAAGAGAAAACACCAGTCTGTAAGCACTTGTTTTGACGTAACATACCATAAGCAAAAGAGCTATGGCTGATACACCAAAATAAATATATCACAGGGAACGAATGTAGAAGGCTAATTATCCACAAGAATGGTATGAGGTCAAGTATGTTTGAGAGGCAATGTATGACAGAACCTCGCAAGACCCATGTCAACAAACAACGAATTTACCCCATCATCAACTGTACCTCCTTCCATATAGAACCTGCGGCATGAAGATCTTCCAACAGTATAGATATGGCAGGTGCAGCTCAGCTCGCAATTTTGAATGCCACAAAATGCTGACGTGCAATTTCCAATTTCAACCTCAATAAACTATCGGAGTTCTTCGGCTTCAAACTTTTTCCATGCTTCCTGTAAAAACATAATTTGCAGATTTTGAAAAGGTGGAGAAGCCATGTCAACAAGCTAACATAATAATTTGTAATTGTAGAACATCCCGACACCCCCACTCTTTTCGAAGAAAAGGGTACTTCGAGATATAGGCCTATCCCTTGGTATATCAATTCTAATCGAAAGTTCAGATTTTCATCAAAATGGAGAATACGCTTATTATTTCAAATTGGGCTTCTATTTTTGGCCAAAAACAAAAATCTAGCCTCGATTCGTCTGTGATTAAAAATTTTGCAGTCAAACTACAGGTTTAACCGCATCTAAACTTTGAACCAAACACTTTGCTACTGTATATGAGTCTTTATGATCATGTAGACTTCTTGGTCGACATGGTTGGCTGCATGCAAAATAAGGTTGACCGAGTTTGTTAAAATACAACTGATACAGATCAAATTTAGAAATCCTACATGGCATGGGTTTCCTGCTACAATGCCGTAATTGCACACTTCTAGAAATTAGGCCTTACTAACTGTAGGCGATGGCAAACAGTCTGAAGAAGACAGATGGTAGACCAAGAGAGGCTCGAGAGGCAGGTGTCTAGACAGAAACAGCACTGAGCTATGTAAGTCATTTAAAAATCCAATTTATGTAGTCAAATTGACCGAGGTCCACCGGGCAATCATTCTTCATTGGGGGCAAGCATAGTTGAGGTCTAGAGTTATTTCTGTACTTGAATATTAGCATTGGATATTAAATTCAGTAAATTATATGAGCTTTCAAGCAAGAATCATGAGATACCATTCATGATATTGACACATGGATCCTTTTCCAGGCCTTTTCTCGCCTGAAATCCAGCAAGTACAGGGTACATCTACCAATCGACATAAGAGTCACGAAGATGAGCTTCAACCTAAACAACATTGACAATATACTTAGAACAGTGGAGTACCTTAAGTATATCAAAAACCTTTTCAGCCGTGTATTTCTGATGAAGACTGGCCCCTTTCTGTTGAACCTTGTCGGGATGGACACGTAATGTAGCCTTTCTGTATACTTGCTTGACTGAAGTAGAAGTTATCAAATCGGTTAGTGAAACTGGTTCCCACCCAGATTCAGGCCAAAGCACCTGCATCACTCCATGGGGAACAGAGATTAGATATGCCACAAGACAGCTGGTTCAAGTACAAAAGAAGAAACCACAGGACTACACAACGACACTAAAATCATTCTAAATTGAATTACAGAAATTTTCCAAACAAAAGAAACCAATATTCATCTCATAACCAGTACTTCCAAATTCAATCCAAATGTCCTGCAGAGTTAATCTCCTTTCAGATGCATGACCCAAGTGTGAGAAAAATTCAGCCCTGTCTCATTTCCACCGATTCATAAATATATCAAGGCCAGAAATTTCAATGTTAAAAATTGTCCTTGTACTGCAGTCAGCAGTGACCAAATCTGCAACACCAACCTAGACTTGAGCGTGAGCATACAACCCATACCACTAAGCACCTTAGTTTATTCATATGCAGATCACATGTTTAATTTCAAGAAGTTGCAGAACTACAGGCATAAAACTGCATATCAGTTAACTTTCCTGCTTATAGTTTCGGACTTTCTAGAGGATGATTACCTAAATTTGTGTTGATTACTAAACAAGTCTTGAATCATTGGTAAATCACTAAACGTGAAATCTTTGTGCAGCACTTCCAGTTAATCCGTAAAATGAAAAAAAAAATAATGGAGACTCAGCAAAGCAGCATAAAGGAGTAGAAAGTTTGTATGTATCTCAAAATGAATATACCTCCTATGCTTGCATTAAAATTGATAAGAATTACATGCACATCGTCACGGAAACTACAAAGGAATTACGCAACAAAAATTCCACGATTTCCCTCTATTGCGGCAATGGAATCCAAGCTGACTTTGATTCAAGGTGACCAAGAGTCTTTAAACCAATTATTCGAGCAAACATAATCAGGATTTTTTTCTAAAGTCCCAAATGTCTTGGATACACTAACATGAATTAGACTCCTGGAAGTTTAATGCATCTTTCCCTGTAAGTTGGCAGTTGTGGATTACGAAATCTGTTTAAGCACGCCTGAGGAAACTCCAGCTGTCAAGAATGTGTAGTTATAAAAAGCTATTCTCTTACCTAAATGAAATGTTTTATCAGTAAATGAGTAATCTCTTCCCATTCAAATAAAAAGTCAATTCACATTTAGTCTTAAGAAACTTCAACTCCCCCTGGTTTCCTCTCAACCCTTGCCAATCTCTTGCTGCTAATGAGATTTTTCTCAATCAGTCACGGATGGGCAGCATAATACAAAATAAGTTCCAAGTAAATTATCAAGCCTTGTTAAAAGATGGAAGTGTGAAACGAAGTTGCACTCTGAAAATCATACCAGTAATCCAAAGTCCTGACAGAACTTCAACAGAGAGGTACCCATACTTCAGTATTCAACATAACTTGAAATGCACCATTTACACATTAAAGAGATAATGCAGAATTACTTCTTATTTCCCCACACAACTTGAAGATTCATGCTATTAAATGTGATTAGCATTTCTGTAATGCAATAACCTAGCTGAAATGACGTATTTCAAACAAAATAAAAGTTGCTTCCCCCAAAGACAAGTCAATTGCAAAAAGGAGAAACAAAAGGAAGAAGCAAAAGCATGAATTTCTACAAGAAGACCCACTTGCTGTAATGATGATAATAGTGCACGCATATTGCCTTCTTTCCCTGCAGCCCAGCGCTTTATCTCAATATCAAGATTCTCAGCAATTTTCTGTGCAAGTACATAATAGCTGAATTAAATCAAAGTCAAAAGATGTGCTGAAATACTTGTTTCGCAGGAGAAGCAGGAAAAGACTATTGAAAGACTAGAAAATGGAGAGAACAATTGAACAAAGAACAAATGGAAAAAGTAAGCATCAATTCTGATGTAAGTACAAGTACTCACACGCCTCTCTTCTTGTTCGTGCTGAGTTTGAGAGTCCCGTTGGTTCATCTCAGCAACTGCTTTTGCCTGAGTTTATTCAAAAAAACAAAGTACAAAACCTTAGTACCATTCTTTCAGCTACAACGGAATTCTATAATCTCATCATGATTTAAACATATCATAAGTCCAGAAATCCCAAGGCACACCCATAATCCAGAAGCAACACAGTTTAAAACAAAAGGGAACGTAAATTGTTTGTTCATCTTTCATTCGTCAGTACTTTTCTATCATTTCTAGCTTAACCTTATAACCAGGATTTCCTTATTCAAGGGTACAACAACAGCAGTATATTTCTCAGTAGTCACTATCCTAAGCTTAACCAGACGAAATTGCCACAATGATAAAGAGAAATACTGACCACTCGTTCCTGGGTTCTCTCATGACGACCTAGTCTTGCCCTTCTTCTTTCTTCGCTTTCGCCTTCAATTTCCTCAAATTCTCCAGAAAATGATGCAGCTGTTGGAAGAACAATAAAAACTTTAGGTTTTGAAAGATAGGCAGCAAAGGGAGATTCACAAAGAAATCTCCCACTACTTTGAAGGAAGCGAACTGTAGCATTAAACACCTCCAAACATTAAAGAAAAGTCATCCATGAAATTCGTTGCTGAGGAGGCCTTCTTTATGCTGGACTGGACCTCAAAAGTCGGCTTTGGTGGTGTATTGGGAACGTCTTTGCTTTTTGTCTGCACATGAGAAGTATTGGAGACTAAAACAACAATTTAACTGCGTTAAGGATAAAGATAGAACTTCTGGTTCTTACCGAACTTGTTGGCCTGGATTTAGGTACACTGCTTGACCGCAAACCCATGCCAAGGAAGGATTCTAGATCATCCGCAGCCTTGGGCTTATTTTCAAATGGATCCCTTGAACCCTCTTTATATCCACCAGCTTTTTTCTCAGGCCCAGAATTATTTCCACCAGAAAGAAAATCTGACTGGATATCAGCATTTCTTCGCACCCTACCCATAGCAAAGTCCTCAAGCTCATCTATTGAAGACACACCAGGGCCTCTAGCCTTTTTCTCGGCCCCAGATCTCTTTCCAACAGAAAGGAAATCTGACTGTGTATCAGTATTTCCCCGCGCCTGGCCCATAGCAAAGTCCTCAAGTTCATCTAGCGATGACACACTAGGGCTCTTCCCTATATCACAGTAAATGCTTGAGCTATAAGTTCATCCTAATGATCTGTCAAAAAGAACAATTGAAAAGCTTTTGTACGAATAAAGAGAAATCACTCACCTTTATCTCCAACTTCGTTCGCCCTTTGGAAATTACCAAACTGACTGCTTTCTTCTAATGGATTAAAAAACATTTCCGAGGAAGCACGCACTGGCTTGGAAGTCGATTCTAATACAACAAAAGGGTCTTCTGACAAATTAGAGCCTGACTCAGCTGAATAAACATTGGTTTTTCGGGGCTGCCTTCTCTGACTGCCGAAATCGAAAATTGTTATTGCATTGCAAAACTACTTAAATTTTCGCAGTTAGAAATTACCATAGAAGAATTAATGAATTTTCAGAAGTTTCTAAGGAAGGAGAAGCGTGTGGCAATAGAACAGGATTAAAAATCCGATGAAGGAGATTTGGACGTATTATCTATCTGACAGGGTGCAATAAATCCTATGGTCAACCAATGAGAATGTAGCTTATACCATACAAGATATCCCTTGTTTCTAAGACAATCTATAACTACTGTTGAGACAATACTCAAAATCTTAAAATAGCAGAAATGACAGATGGAGCTGCTTCCAAGATTAAGTGCTCTCAGAAGAGACACAACCTATAGTAGAAGATAAATAAGCCACTATGCTTTTAATAACTGAATAGAGGAGGAAAGCATATAATAGTGGGTAGAACATACTCATAGCCTTCTAAATTTAGTTGTGTGGAATTACAGGCTAAATGGATCACCGATGGGCATGAAAACCTAAGAAAAGGGGATCCTTTAAATATTGAAAAAGAAAGGCAACGACACCATGGTGTCGTTAGGATCCTAGATATTATCATCAACGTTATCTGGACATGCATGGACATTACATGCAAACGGGAATAAATTGAAAAGTCCACTTTTATTCTAAAAAAAAAATTGGGCGATCTCAATTGCAAGTCAATGCTCCGAAATGTATATTAACAGGGAAAGTATATCCATCAAAAGCACATATCTGCTTAATCATATGAGACAATGCATAAGGTACGGCACTCCCAACAATACCGAATAACAGAGTAGAAAATAAAAGCCACTAACAAGATTAAGATCTAAAAAGCAATAGCAAAAGCCATATCATGCGGATGAATTCGTCATCTTTACACTTTCTTACAGCCAAGAATTACTCTTCTGGGCAACTTGACGTTTAAAACAGATATTACGCACATAAAGTGATTCATGCACATGTACCATCGGGTGAAAAATGAAATTGCAGAATCCGTGTCTGCATTGAGAGTTAGTTTTAGCATACATTGGGATGCCTAATTTTCTTTCTAATTTTCTTTGTAGGATAATATCAGCACAAATGAAGAGAAAATACATTCTCCAGCTCTACAGTGATAATTAACCTGTGAAATCCCCTACAGCTCTGGCAGTACTTGTACACAATTATAGAGCTAGCCAGGCGATTTCGGGAAATGAGCTCCAACTTAGAGGGTAAAATAAGCCTAACTAAAAGAAGAACATAATCTACACAGAAAGAGATGCTCAATCATACTGGGAGAAAGTGAGAAAATATGTTTGGTCAACTTCTCAATAAGCAGGCATTCTTGAACTCAAGACAAAGCGAGGAATCACAATTAACTTAAAAAAAACAGGTCTTAAAAGAAGTAACAAACAACTTAAAAAGTCCTGAATGTGTATCATGAACAAGAAGTACTATGTCATCCTTAGAGATGCCAAACCAACTGTCCGCAAATGTTACTGAATCCCTTTACACACTCGCAGACACACTAATCTTCTATGGTGTTCCATGAAGACTACTGATATAAGAAGGTCCTAATAGAGACTTTTCAATGTTATGCAGAATAAGTCGCATTTGGTGTATTTGGCGAATTTCCGAATCCGGTAACATCGAAGCACCACAGAACAAGATAATGGTCATTCGGCACGTAAAGAGAGCAGATGTTCTGAGTGAAATTTGCAAAATGCACATACGCACCCGTCAGCTGGTGGACTACTTCCCCCAAACCCAGGTATCAGATCATCGGATTCCGCAGCACCACCGTGCCCAGCCTCGGATGCCTTACTACCAGTCTTCCCGGACTTCGTCGTGCCGATGCCGCCAAAGATATCGTCATGGCCATCATTTTGATACCCACCTAACAAATCGTCAACCGGAGAGTTCTGCCTCGGAGGAGAAGCGAACGAACCGAAAATGTCATCGCCGTCACCGACCGAAGCCGAACTCTTCACGCCAGGCATCCCGCCGAATATATCGTCATTATCGTAGCTCGACGAAGGCCCCGCGCCGGAATTGAAAAGCGAGTCGTAATCGAAGCCGCTACCACCGGCCGGCGACTTCGAGGGCTTACTGGATCCGCCAAACAGATCGCCGAAGTCGTCCAAATTGCCGAAACCCTGAGCCTCGCTGCCGCCGCCGCCGTTCGACCGAAGGAACTCGCCGTAGCCACCGGCGAAGGCGCCGTCGCCACCGGCGCCCGAGTTCCAGGAGGACGCGGAGGCGGGAGCGGGACCGTGACCGGAGCTGCGGCCCCGGGGGGCGCCGCCGCCGCCGATCCCGTCGGGGCGCCTCGACGCGGCCATCGGGGCCGACTTCCTCTGGCTCTTCAGGCCGTACCGCTCCGTCAGGACACCGAACTCGTCCATTTCTCCTCCTCCTCCTCGCACGCGCGGGGGGAAAATACCGAGACGGATTACGCGGAGGAAAACCAGAGCAGTTTTTTTAAACAGAATCAAGAGGCTAAAAATCGTCGGAGCCGGCGATCGGAAAATCAAGAACCGCGAAAATGGGGAGCCGGAACGCGATGATGGGGGGGGGGGTGGGGAGATCGATGCGGGAGGCGATTTGACCGGGAACGGGAGGGGCGGTGGTGAAGATGAATTCGCGGAAGTTTCCCAAAATCGAGCGAGCTCGATCGCGGTCGGTGAGGGGGACTTCTTCTTCTTCTTCTTCTTTCCTTGTTTGACGTGTGGGAGGGGGGAACGAAGGGAGGGGGAGGAATGGGCGGATCCGACGTGGAGCCTACGGAGTACCGACAAGGAAGGTGCCCAGCTCAGCTCGGGATGGGCCTCGTTTTGGAAGAGAGGGACTTTTTTTCTTTAGGGGATCTTGGTTTTGCTTAGCTTGATCCAGGGAAAGGATTCGTTCGGTGCGGCCTCATTCATAATTCAGGCAATTTGGTGGGGGAGGGGGCGATTCTTCTTCCGTTTTGAATCTTTCCAGCTTTGATTTTCTTCTTCTGTCTTTTTTTTCCGGTCCTTCGCCCGTAGCATTCGAGAAACGGCGAGCAGGGGTTTCATGAAATGACTATGCGGGAAGCCAACTGTTCTAAAAGCTTAAGTTATTAGATGAAGGCGTGGCTTAAAATATAATTACTCTACCACTCCCCCTCACGGTAAATCTGGTCTTTTTTTGCCTAGTACTAAGTGTGGATATATTTAATTAGAAAGACAAATGGAGCTTAGAAAGATTTGAACTCAGGATCACCAGCTCTGATACCATGTGAGATTTTGCTAGGATCACTGTCAACTATTCTAAAAGCTTAAACTGTTAAATGAAGGCGTGGTTTAATATTTAATTACTTTAACAATGCCGCCTCCTCTTTCTGTCTCTTTCTTTGTCTTGTTCTTATTTTTTTTTCGTTTCGTTAATTTGGACTTACCCAATGCGGTCGTACAATTCAATGGTCGTATTGGTGAACGTGCGTGCGTTATCGTATAGTTGGATTGTCACATCAAATGCCATTTTGTATGGAGTTCCCAGAATCTATGGCTATTGGGTGGCTTTCAAAAGTTGCCTTAGGAGGGAAGAAAAGAACTGCTCAGACTAATAAAGGTCGAAATAAATAATCCATAACATGTTTATAGTTTAAATTATTATGGTGGACATTACCCGTAACTTAAATAAGATTTTCTTTTTTGGTGGAAAAAGTCATAACTACTTCTAACAGGGTCAAAATAAATAAGCCATATTAAATTCATAATTTAAATAATTATGGTGGACATTACTTGAAACTTAAATAGGATTTTTTTTTGGGTGGAAAAAGTCATAATTACTTATAAGACGGTCGAAATAAAAAAAGCCTAAACGAAGACGAGAGCTTCAATCGAACAAAGATCATACCTAGGTGCCACCCAACAAGGGATATTGAGGATAACAGTTGACGGTTCTTACCTTGATTGGGAAAATGATGGAGCCATAGCGTGCACGTGTTGCGATTGCTCGGGTCTTCTTGTCGATGGTTTCGCACGCACGGTCGGGGCATCCTTTGTTATGCAAATCAAAGTGCTCGCTTTGCTAGAAACCGTAGAATACTTTCGATCAAGACCAGAATCAACTTTGGAACTACGCTTAGATCAGAAGGTGTCTAGCTAGCGCAGATCTGCTCTTGTGGGGGGTAACTCTACTTATCAAGCCTAGGCCAAGTTGAGTCTCTTTTTAAATTTAAAAGTGATCCATTACAACGAATAAGCAAATAAGGTGGCGGACAGGGTTATCAAAGCCCATCGCAAAAACAAGCCTTCTTTCCAATTAGATTTTATATTCCCCTCAAGCCCTTTGGGCTTTTATGTTCTGAAATTGCACTTATGTACGGTCAAACAATTTCTTAACGAATGGATATTATCTTTCTGACAAAAACTAAAGAAGCCATATTATGCCCATTTGAAAATAATCTACCACCCATACATCATGCTAGGGCTATATTTATCTCCATCCTTGATACGAAAAAATTACATACCTCTCATCAATGAGTTACAGTTATAGACATCGCATGCATACACACACTTAACTAAAATTAAAAGCAGGGGACGTCATATATGGAATCCCTACTTAAACGCATGGTCGGAGGAAATTCCTCCCACAATGTGATGAAGCAAAGCATAGTTATTTATATTATTAATCAAACTTTTTTTTTTGGCCAAAAACAATGTTGATAGCACTAAAAGAGGTTGGTAAATGATGACAGAGAGAGAGAGCGTCAAGCGAGGGAAAAAAACAATTGTGAAAGAGAGAGTCCAATGGTTTCTATAACTTATGGTATTACTATTGAATTCACATCAATACAAACAACGCATATGGTGCAAACTGCAAAAGCATAGTCCAATGTAAAACAAGAGGCCAAATGTACAGTTAGGCCCATGCAAAATTGCACGGATGTGAAGAACCAACTTTGCGGGTTTAGGTCGCCCCTCCAGTCCGAATTACGAATCAATTTCTCCTCCCCACCATCTTTCAAGGTTGAACCAATCTTCGAATTAGCTCGTGCATCTCGGGGTTCAACATGTACTTTTATTTCTAATCCAAAAGAAGGGTTTTTTTCTCATAATATAAATGGTCCATGAATTTTGGTTCAATATGCAATATGATCCCTGAAATTTTAATTTGTTCAATATGATCTTAATTTGAACTTTAGCACAACGTGCAATGTCATCCTTAAACTTTTAAATTGTCCCTAGACTTTTGGTGCATATCCCATTTAGTCCCTATATTATATAAAAATATTCAATATTATCCTTGAACTTGAATTTATGAAATAGCAACATTGATTATTTTCATATAATTCATGAACTAAATTGAACATGTATAAAAAAATTTAAGGACCACATTGAACAAATTAAAAGTTCAAGGATCGCATTACACATTACTATAAAGTTCAGAGACCACATTGCATATTAAGCTAAAATTTATATATCATTTATGTCATTATCACTTTCTCTAACGAAAAGGTAGGTTGGGCCGCTCCTTTTTGAATTATTTGGTCAACTATTGATCACAACTATATTCAAAATTAAACACATTAAGCACGGAAGCCACCCTTTCCCTCCTCTCTTTCTCTCTCTTATTATGTTCTTTCTTTTCGTTATTTTGAACTTACCCACTATGTTTTGTACAATTCAATAATCGTATAGGTAAATGTGTATGCTTTACGGTATAGTTGAATTGTCACATCAAATACCAACTAAAATAAGGCCATTTTGTATGGAGTTCCAAGAATCTATGGCCGTTGCGTGGCTTTCAAAAGTTGTCTTAGAGGAAAAAAAGAACTGCTCAGACTAATGAAGGTACAAATAAATAAGCCATATTATGTTTATAGTTTAAATAATTATGGTGGACATTACCTGAAACTTAAATAAAATTTTCTTTTTTGGTGGAAAAGTCATAATAACTTCTAAGAAGGTCGAAATAAATAAGGCCTAAACGAAGACCAGAGCTTCAATCAAACAAAGATCATACCTGGGTGCCACCAAACGAGGGATTTTGAGGATAAATGTTGACTGTTCTTGCCTTGATGGGGAAAATGAAGGTGCCATAGCACGCATGTGTCACGATAGCTTGGGTCTTCTCATCGATGGTTTCGCACACGCAATCAAGGCATTTCTACTGTGCAAACCGTAGTGCTCGCTTTGCTAGAAGCCATAGAATACTTTCGATCAAGATCAAAAACTATTTTGGAACTACGCTTAGATCAATGTGATTTGATAAGGTGTCTAACTAGTGCATTTAAGCTCTTGTGAGAGTTAAGTCTACTTATCAAGCCTAGACTCAGTCGAGTCTCCTTTCAGATTTAAGACTGATTAATTGCAACAGAGAAGTAAATAAGGTGGCGGACTGGATTGTCAAAGGCCATCGCAGAAAAAGCCTTCCTTCTAATTGGATTTTATATCCCCCTCAAGCCCTTTGGACTTTTTATGTTTTGAAGTTGCACCTATACGGCCAAACAATTTCTTAACTAATGAATATTATCTTTCTGATAAAAAAAGAAGCCATATAATGGCAATTTGAAAATAATCCATCACCCATAAATCATACTAGCGCTATAGTTGTCTCCACCCCTGATGAGAGAAAATTCCATGCCTCTTATCAATGAGTTACAAGTTATAGACATCGCTTTCATGTACACTTCACTAAAATTAAAAGTGGGCGATGTCTTATTTGGAATCCCTACTTAAACGCATGGTCGGAGGAAATTCCTCCCATCATGCGACGAAGGAAAAGCATAGTCTTTCATAATATTCATTGAACCTTTTTTTTGGTCAAAAACAATGTCACTAGCACTAAAGGAGGTTGGTGAATGACAAAAAAAAAAAAGAGAGACTGTCACACGGGGAAAAAAACAATTGTGAAATGGAGAGTCCATTGGTTTCTATAGCTTATGGTACTACTATTGAAATGGTTTCTAAAACTTATGGTACGACTATTGAATTCACATCAATACAATTATATACACAATATATATGGTGCAAACTGCAAAAACAAGCCCCTACATCTCTCAAAAACTCTTCCCTTTTTTAAGCTTTCCCATAGGCTCTCAGTTCGGTTTCGAGTTGAGAGCCTACTTAGCCTTCTTGATTTTCTTTTTTCTTTGCTTTGACTGTCTTTTCTTTTCTCTTTCGATATGTTTTGGGAGACGTGTGTATAAATAAATTTCTGCGGCTGATCTTGGGTGAAAGTGAAGTCCGGTTCGGCCATTTGTCTAATCGATAGCCATCAAGGAAGATATCCATGACGTGGCTCCGCAATTTCTATGAGATTATGCTGCTTTTCTCTCCGATTTAGATTTAGGTCTAGATTTGAGGATTTTATTCTCCCGATTTAGATTTAGGTCTAGATCTAGGAGTGGACACACGTCTAAAGGTCATGTAGGGTTAGTTAGGGGTAGGATAACCTCTTTGAACATATCCCTTTTGGAATTAGTATATACCCAGCACTACGATCGGTTCCTTTTTGATGTTGGTGGTGTGAATTTTAGAAGCTAGTTTGCTTGTATAATGTGTTTATTGTGAAATTAGTGGGTTGTATTGAAGTGGTTGGTTGCTGGTCTTGATGAATTGTAATGGATATTGTATATATATTGAGGTGTAATATAGTGCTTGGTGGTTTGGTGATTTGTCTCTCCCTATTACCTCATGATTATATTGTCAGGGTTTATGTTCTCGTTTCCGCCATGTTGAGAGAGTGTGCTTTTAGTTGCA